CCTCAACTCAACTTATAAGCATTTTTGGTTTGATCAAGATTTTTATTATTTTATCCCTAATATCTTTTGTACTTCTCGAAATACCTTTCCCAAAACAAAACCTTTAACTCCTCTCTATTTCATTTCTATCGTTCGTACTTCTCCTTGTAAAGATATGTTTCTAACTTTTACTTCTAAAAAAGAAAATTTAAGGATATTTTAGTCATTTTGACAGAAAAGTATTTATTAGCACTTCTACAACGAAACATCAACTGCGTATTATCAGCTTCACCACTCTATCCAAATACGTAAAGACTTATTTATAGAATCAATATCACCACTTAGAGTATATTTTTTTCAACATTTGATGTTTATCAGCTACTCTCGATCAGTTAAACCAAATAGGCTCTAAATTATGTTGGCATTTATGTCTATATTGTAATATCAACAGGTTGGTAAGGGAAGAATACTGAGAGAAGGTGAAAGGATTGCCATTCTAGGATATGGTTCCATAGTACAACAATGTTTGGGAGCTGCAGACATCCTAAATACACATAATGTAAGAGTAACAGTAGCCGATGCTCGGTTCTGCAAACCATTGGATGCTGATCTTATTAAGAGATTAGCCAAAGAACATGAAATCTTGATCACTGTTGAAGAAGGATCAATTGGAGGATTTGGCTCACATGTTTCTCACTTCCTAAGCGTAAACAGTATTTTGGATGGACCCCTTAAGGTAAAAATATTATGAAAGTGTGATTGGTACGACGAAAGTCACTTTTCAGGAAAGAAATTTTTTAAGAGGAAATCATTTTCTGGTGTTTGATTACCAGAAAACATTTCCTGAGGAAAACATTTTACGTCAAAAGGAGGAAAATGACTTCCCTAACTTATAGACGGAAAGTTAGTTTTTCCTACAACTATCTTAACTTCTAATTCATATTACTTGCTTTAACTGACGACATTATTATTAATCTTTAGAACTCAAAAATTTAATCAAATCATTAACCAAACACCGAAAAATGATTTTCTAGATTGATGAAAAATGACTTATGGAAAGACTGCATACAATAGACCCCTGTGGTCCGGTCCTTCCTTGGACCTCACGCATAGCGGGAGCTTAGTGCACCGGGCTGCCTTGATGGAAAATGACTTATGTCATACCAAACACATTAAAATATAAAAAATTCAAGAATCTTTTCTGACAGTAGATTTGTCATTTTTCTTGTTCTTTTTTGTGTTTTGAATTTTGCAGTTGAGGTCAATGGTACTTCCAGATAGATACATAGATCATGGATCACCACTTGATCAGATTGAAGCAGCTGGTTTGTCATCTAGGCATATATCTGCTACAGTATTAACACTATTGGGAAGACCAAAGGAAGCTCTTCTAGTAAATTAGATTTGCTAAGTGAAACTCTATTGAATTTAAGGGAAGGATTAAGATTATAGATCCAGGAAAATGTTTCATTGTTTTAGCAATGAATTAATAAGATGTATACATAGGCGGACCCAGGATTTGAGCACGGCGGAGGCACCATTGTATGCTAATTGAAAACTCAATGATTATGATGACTTATCATCCAAGTACAAATAAAAAGAAGTTCTAAAGAA